TGATCTAGGAGTTCCCTTGTCTTCTGGATCTGGTTCAAAATTACAAGGCAACGAAGTTGAACATTAGCAGTTGTAAACTCAAAAAATTTGATTAGCTGTTCAAGGACAGTAATAAAATATGAGGGTTGTCCATAAAATAAAGTTCCCAACAAATTTTCCCAATGAAAAACATGTTTATTGGCATCGAATAATGCATGTTTGGAAAGCTTAGACTTCCCTTTATTTTTCGATCTAATCGCCGTTTAGATCAAAGATCAATGCATTTTTGCATGCGCTGTACCATCTTCTTTATGCCTGAGTCGTAGAACTCTGCCGCCGCACAGCGAAGATACTTTAAAACCTCTTCTTTCAGCTCTTCGTCGGTAGTGAAATACGTCCCTCCCAAGTGTTTCTTTAATTCAGGGAAGAGAGAGTAATCTGGGGGGGGGGCAAGTCTGGGCTGTAAGAGGTGTGTGTGACAATATTCCATCCAAATCTGTTGATGAGATCAGTTGTGACACGGGCGGTGTGCGGACGAACGTTGTCCTGATAGAGACGCACTCCATTTGTGAGCATACCTCTCCTCTTGTTTTGGATTACGCTCCGAGGTTCTTTAACGTCTGTCAGTAGCGATCCACTTTAATTGTAGTGCCAGTAGGCAGGAATTTGCTCAATAACCCTTTCTTGTCTCAAAAGACACTCGCCGTCACTTTGCCGGCAGACAGAATTTGTTTTAATTTCTTCGGCGAGCCTGGATGTTTCCACTGATGGGATTGTTCTTTTGTTTCCTGTGTCATGTAGTCAACCCAGGTCTCGTCCCCAGTGACGACAGAGTCCAAAAATTCCCGCCATTGTTTTTGTAGGCATGAAGAAATTCGTGGGCTGCTTCAACACGTTGCTGTTTGTTGTCATCCGTCAGCATTTTCAGGACCCACCTTACACAAACCTTGTCATATCCTAAGTGGTCTCTCAAAATGTTGTGAATGCAGGACTTACTGACATCAGGGATCATCTCGCTCGGAACCGTCACCCTTCGATCAATCAGCATTGCTTCTTCCACCTTTGCAATCGCTTTGTCCGAAAACGATGGTCGGCCAGAACGTTGTTGAACTGTACATCCATCAAGGATTTTAATTTTTTTTAAAAAAAAGTAAAATTCAAATGTTTAATTTTTAAAAAAAATAAATATACATTTTTATTTCACTTTTTTCACTCGATGTTTTTGCCAAATTTCAAGTCTCTATTTCTTTGGAATTATAATGAGAAAAAAAATTGTAATTTGACATTGACATAAACCATATAGTAAAGGCCACATATTATGCTATTAAAAATATAGTACAGATAAAAAGGTGACTTATTCATGTAAATATCTTTCTATATATATATTTAATTATGTATTTAAATTCTGATATGTGTTGTTCTTTTTGTTAAATAGCTCATAGTAAAATAATTATTTATTAAAACATTAATTAATACAGTATTAAGTCCTATGTATTTTCCTGACACTTTTTTGTCTAAGTAGACAAATCGCTTTTCCTGTAAATAAAGTTTTTTTACATTAAAATTATTTTGCAATTCTTTGTGTTTTGTTTTTGCAAAGATACCTATATGTTTTACTTTTGTTTTGAAATTAGACCAACTTTCTGCTAGATACAAATAAAGGGGAACTTTATTGCAGGGTATCAAGGATGCTGAATTTTATAGAATGGAGGATAAACGAGTAGCCGACTACTTTGTAGTTGCAGGTTTTCTGGACAATGCTTTACCTCTCAAAGAGTTCTCTCGTGGTGGAAACAGTCCCAAATCTACACAATCTTTGCTGCCCATCACTGATGTGGCCGTTATTAAACGTAGCCAGGGAGAAACAGTGTCGAAAGGTTATACATGCATACAGAAAAAAGTTTCACAGAATAAAAAAAAAATATTCATGAAAAATAAAGGTCTGTTAGAATAAATTTACAATAGTATTTAAGATAATGTTTGAATTTCGACTTCCTGTAAAGTTTATAGGGAGAGCCTCATCGCTTCATTATAAAAAACTCCGCTAAAAAAGCTCATTTTGATAAGGCGTAAATGACCTGTTAGGGTTACTACATTGCACTATCTGACCAAACATATTCTACTTTTCGTAGAAGGCAGCTAACAGAAAAGCTCCTCTTTTCCATAGATTGCAAAGAGAATGGGCTTTGCATGAATTTGTGAAGGTATAGCTGATCGGTAGTAAATTTACCTCGGACAGACCATTAAATAGTTTATCTAATTTCGTTTGGCAGTAGATTTAAAACCATAAATAACTCTCTAAATATCAGGCATTTAAGCATCTTTGCACAGAATATCATTATACAGGAAGAAAACTAAATTATTTTACAAAGCTGCGTAAAAGTCATTGTGCATGAATTATAGAAAAAAAGAAGGTACTGGTAAGGGGGGGAATAAATATCTCATTAACGAGATTTTGCATATGTGACAAAATTTAAATTTTAGATAAGGAGAACTCTGAGAAAGTTTTGCTGGAATATAAATTATTCATTCCTGAAAATCCATGAATCAACGGTTTCCAGATTCACAGAATCCTGCANATTGTATAATCTTACCCATTCACGAATAATTGGTCCAGTCAGTTCTAAAAAGGATTCATTCTTAAGATCACCCTGAAAAGAGATAATGTTTTCTATTTATAAATGTATATAAACATATACATTCCTTTATCGTAATATTCCTTTTTATCTAAACTAAAATTTATGATCTAACTTGAAGTTGTTAAATTGTGAGTGCACAAAAATATCAGAAAAAAGTGTCCACGCTAAGGATTTCAATTTATCAGCCAGTAAATAAGAATCTGAAAACCTGCCCTCTTACCTGCCCTCCTTACCTGCCCTCTCTTGATCTAAAGATCTTCCAGGTCACAGAAGAAATGTTGAAGTTTTCTCTCGACAAACCCCCATTTTCCTCTACTCAACTTCAAGGATGCGAAACATTTTCTCTAAGGCTCAAGTTCAAAATAGGGGGAAAATCAAGCTAAATTTTCAGTTTTATGGATACTAAATTAATGGTTATGTTCTGTATTGGCCATTATTATAGAAAACTTGCCATCATTAGGGTGCATACAAAACCCTGTGGCAGAATTGGTTTGGCCTTTCTGCGACAAAAAACCTCAACTTTTTTTTGGATAAAATAAAAAAAATATTTTTTTTGAAATTGAGTTATAGTTTTTTTATTCTAATATTATGGGCAAAATTCTCGCATTTTGTCGGAGAAAAACATACTAATTATTTCCTTTTTTGGATTTTGTATATCATTATCACACTAAAACAAATAATAATAAAAAATTGTGAAATCCGTAGCTATAATTATCGAATTATTCAGCAGAAGAGAAAACCAAAATTTTTTACTTCACAAAGAAAAAAATTTTCTGTAAGAATTCGGTAATATTCTGCGACGAAGTCGTCATGATTCTGTCAAGAGGATATAGATTGAAACAATATGAAGAAAAAGTATCTTTTTTTTTAATTAATTTAAGTTTGATATCTGTAAAATTTTTAAGTAAACACCAATTTAAGGAGAGTTTACCTTTCGTTTAAGTCAAAATTGGAACTTTTTAGTTCAATTTTTTTATTTTTTATTCTACATCTTCTTACAGACATTTTAATACCGAGTTTACTTAAAATCTGATGCTTGTTTTTCTCTTCATTGTAATTTGTGTGTCAAAATATTTGTAATAATTTAATTAGTAGTTGGGATTGATTATTTTTGTAGTTTATGACACTTACAATTACTTTGTTACAAATGTTAACAACTACTTTTTTTTTAAATGTAATGACTTCTTCCCCCTACGGTTATCTTTTTGCTAGATACTTTTAATAATAACAAGTATACATGTTACTAATTTAAGGTAACAGAAGCATAAAAAAAAATAATAAATCCGGATAAAATAAAATAATTTTTTAAACTTATTATGTAATATTTCTTTATTCTAATATTATGGGCGATATTCTCGCATTTTGTAGGGGGGCAATACACTAATTATTTCTTTTGTCCATTTTGTATATCCTCATCACATTAAAAAAAAATCACGCGAATCAGACTATTAAAAAAGGAGTTAGAAAAGTATCTCTCTGACACTCCCTTACAAAGAAATAAAATAAACTGTGTTTTTAAGTTCCACCTTTGAAAATTTGATTACCGTAAACTTCTTTGATCAATGATTTTTTTAAACGTCTGGATCTTCGATCTCCGGATAACTGTTAGTGAAAAATTCGGAAATCCGGATTTTTCCGGAGCACAATCAGCCCTGTATATCATTATCACATTAAAACAAATAATAATAAAAAATTGTGAAATCCGTAGCTATAATTATCGAAAAAAAGATCAATGGCAAAATCATGCGAATCAGACTCTTCAAAAAGGGATTATTAAATGCATGTTTTCATTTTGAGATTCAATTGTAATAAATAACATTTTAAAAATATTGGATTTTAAAAACTATGTGAAAATCAGTAGTAATAAATGCATAAAAATATAATTCAGCAGAAAACTAAATTTTTTACTTCACAAAAAAAATATTTCTGCAAGAATTCGGTACTATTCTGCGACAATGTCGTCATGATTCTGCCAAGGGGATACAAAACAGCGTCGATTGTAACAACATAACGAAAAATTATCTTTCATTTTATTAATTTAAGTTTAATATCTGTAAAATTTTTAAGTAAACACCAATTTAAGGAGAGTTTGCTTTTCGTTTAAGCCAAAATTGGAACTGTTTAGTTCTATTGATTTATTTTTTATTTTACATCTTCTTACAGACATTTTAATACCGAGTTTACTTAAAATCAGATGCGTGTTTTTCTCTTCATTGTAATTTGTGCGTCAATATCTTTGTAATAATTTAATTAGTAGTTAAGAAAACTACATTATTTTTGTAGTTTACGACACTTACAATTACTTTGTTACAAATGTTAACAACTACTTTTTTTAAATGTAGTGACTACTTCCCCCTACAGTTATCTTTTTGCTAGATACTTTTAATAATAACAAGTATACATGTTAGTAATTTAATGTAACAGAAGCATAAAAAAAATAAATTAGGATAAAATAAAATAATTTTTTTAACTGAATATGTAATATTTTTTTATCCTAATATTATGGGCGATATTTTCGCATTTTGTAGGGGGGCAATACACTAATTATTTCTTTTTGTCCATTTTGTATATCCTCATCACATTAAAAATAAATAATAAAAAATTGTGAAATCCGTAGCTGTAATTACCAAAACGGAGAATGATCGACAGTGAAATCACGCAAATCAGACTATTCAAAAAGGAGTCAGTAAATGCGTGTTTTCATTTTAAGATTCAGTTGTTATAATAAATATCGAATTAAAAATATAGGATTTCAAAAACTGTGTAGAAATTAATAACTGCACTAAAAATAGAACGAAAATTTCTGTAGAAAAGAAAACCAAATGTTTTACTTTATTATTCTTTATTTTTTTAATATTCTCAAATGAGCATAAGCTTTTATGAGCATAATCAAAAGTATTTTTATCTATTCCAATGCACGAGAAAGGCATCTTTTGAATATAATTTTGAGGGAAAGATAAAATCTTTGGAAAATTTCCACAGAAAAGAAAACCAATTTTTTTTTTTTACTTCCCAAAGAAATTCACCTTAAAGTAATTAATGATATTTGTGTCAAATGACTTAGGTGGCGACTGGAAGACTTTGACTCGGATATTAGGGCTGTTTTACAGGCTGCACGTCCTGACTGTACTCCATCTAGGCTTCACCCATCCACTTTTCGTTCTGTGCCCTACAGTAAGTCTCTACCAACCAATACGGGACTTGAAATTTTTACTGATGGTTCGAGGATGGAGGTCGCCAACCCCAATACTAACGATAAGGAATATAGAACTGGCTCTTGCATGATTGCGAAACTGGATGGTGAGACTATTGAGGTGGCCTCCATCAGACTCACCAATAACTCTATCTTTTATGTTGCAGAGCTCGTGGCAATTTCATGACTTTCTGACATGGATTATCCCAGGGCAACCATCGACTCCGATTCGCTGTCTTCGTTGCAAGCACTAAACAATCCAAAGCCTATTTCAAAACTTGTGGAAGAGATAAAACTTCTTTGGCATGACAACATTGATTGCAATTGGGTCAAAGCCCATGTGGGCATTCAAGGCAACGAGGAGGCGGATCGGGCAGCAAAAGAAGCCACGAGTGACTGCAACATCTCAATTGAAGTCCCCAGTTCCAATGCCCAAATTAAAACCGTGGTCAAATCACACAATATGAGTCGCTGGAAGCGGGAGTGGCAGAGTTCCGGGAAGGGCAGGCAAACTTTTAAATTCTTCAAGGAACCAAAACTAAACAGACTGCAGGCAAATTTTTATTTTAACCAATTTTTAACGGGTCATGGAGTGTTCGGAGAACATCAAAATAGACTTTTTAATAAAAACATTCAATGCAATTACTGTGGGGAACAACAGACAATCGATCATTTAATTTTTAGTTGTTCCCATTTCCAGACACTTCATGACAATAACTTTACCAATTTTAATCAACACCAATGTTTTGCCAATTTGGCCTGCAGAAAAATTATCATCTCTATTATTAAACAAACACTGGAAGATGTACTCGGAGACAGGTAATAAGACCCGGAACCTGCGCTCCCTACTTCTTGGGTGCCTCAGGCAGTTCATCGGCTTTTAACTTAATGTTTTACTTTATTCCATTTTTAATGTTTTTTCTTTAATGATTTTATGTTACTCATTATTTGTCATTCATCTTTTCTACTGGGGCTTGATTTCATGCTTTCATGGTTTTTTTTTATCACTGTCAACAATTTCTTTATATCGGTTTTATTGCATTTTTCCATTACGATGGTGTTTAACTTCTCAGTAATTTTAACTTTTTTGTGTTCGACTTTATTACATTGTGATTTTATTGTGTTTGATTTTATTACTACGGTCTCTTGACTGTCTGTTTGCCCCTTTGGGTACTTCTGTAACTTTTATTTCTATTTATTGTACATTTTCTGCTTGACATAAACCTTACACAAATAGGGTGGGTCGTGTCACTATTCAAATTATTACTTCCCAAAGAAAAAATCTATCTGCAAGAACTCGGTATCATTCGGCAACAATGTCGCTGAGTCGCCACGGAGTTACTTCCCTACTCTAAGGAACTGCACTTTGTTGGAGAAATGAATTTAAACATTATGTACAAAATGGTTAAGAATAAAAAAATTGGCTAATATTAAACATGAAGAACTATTTAGAAATATTTATTCATATTTACATGAGCCAGTTTGTTATTCTAAAACATTTATTATTATTTTTTTTGTTGAATTTGTTCATTTGATTTTAAATTTTTTATGCCTTTCTCGACAATGAATATTTAATTTAAGAAATATGAAACTGTTAAATACTTGTGACTTTGTTAAGTGTTTAATGCTCTTTTATTTCCTCTAAGAAATTAAGTACATCAAAAATATGTTTCCGTCCTTTGAAATACCATCACTGATTTATGAGTGTACATTCGCACGTGAAAGTGTGACCATAGTGATAAATTATTTATTATTCATAATGGCTAGCATAAATATTAGTTATATGTGACTCGAAATATGCAATTCTTGTTAACTCAGTGTGAAGGAAGGAATTAATGAAAATAGGAGAGTCTTTCCCCAGTTGTTTGACATTTGATGAAAAATTAAAATTATTTTAATTTGATATTATGGAAACGTTCCCCTTTAGACTACAGAATTTCGAATTTCTGACTTCCTTCATGAATTTAAATTTCTCAATCTTCTTAAAGGAATGTTAATTTTTTTTTTAAATTTTTTTTGTAAAAATACAAATAAATTAGTTTGGAAAGTAAGATTTTTAAATTAATTTGGATATTGAATAATAATAAACTCAAAATTTTATGAACAAGAAAAAAAAATTTTAAACTGATTTTAATAAATGGCTCGCTTTATTATGTATTTAAATATTCCAGCAATATACATAATATGCAATAACTTCATATACATCAGATACCTTTAACAAAATACATGGACAGGAAAAAATCCAGTAGACCTCATGAAATAATATAAATTTCATGATAACTGTCGCAAAATATACTAAATATTTTACATATAGAGAATTTCAGAGATTTTTACTGTCATCAAAATACAAAAACCTTATTACAGTAATAACTATAAATGGTCTGTAATACTTTCCTTTTACGACTGACATTAAATTAACAAAAGAGATTCTGACACTAAATGAAAAAACCTGAAAATTTTGTGTACCAAAAATCCATAACAAGATATTAATTTATATAATATTCATATTTAAAATAATTTTTTGATCAAAATTTATAATTAAAATACCTACCAATAAAAAATATCACATAAGAATCACAATATTGGATTTTAAGAATGTGAAAATACAAATCGCGATATTGGGTTTTAAAACCGCGTCAATACGAATCATGATGCATAATTTTTAGATTCTTTGAATATGGATTAAGACAATGGATAATAAACTCATGCGAATACGAATCGAGATATTGGATTTTTAAATTACATTAATATGAATTGCGATATATGATTTTTAAATCTAGTAAATATAATGAACAGTAAGTAACTTTTAAATCAGAAAAATATGAAAATCGATGTCTGATATTAAAATTGCGTGGATATGAATCACCGTATTAGTGGAATCCAGTACAGTTTCAAGTATTAAAAACGATAAAAATCTGACTAACAAAAAAAAAAAAAAACAAATTTTAAATTGCAAGAAAATTATGCATCTGAAAAGTTATGTTAACATGATTTCGCGAAGGTTTCAAAATTTAAATTTTACATTGCAGTGAAAATTTCGGCAGATTATAAATTTTATTTGCGGAAGTCCGTGAATCAAGGTCTTGATATATGCAGAATTCTGTGAAAAAATCACATGCCCTGCTCTTAGACCTGGATAGATAATACGTAAAACCTGGAATATAATCACTACTGCTTGAATTTGAAATGTTTTTTATTATGTTAATTCATAAAATTGAACAGCAATAGAGAATTAATATCTTATTGATAATTAAAAAGACTGTGGAGAAAGAAATTATCGACCATGTCAACTTTCATCTATGAAAAGGTACCCCAACATAGAATCAAGTTAATTTGTCGTATATACTAGTAAATTGGAATTGTATTTTTGTAGTAGTAGACGCACTACAGCACTCCCTCGCCAGAATTATATCAGTGATAGAATTCGATGATCGAATTCATTGCTGTTTTGTGAGAAGCCGAGAGATCTGTGTATTAAGATCGCTGTACTTTTTTTCAGTGAGTAAGTGGGTTTTATATTTTAAATTTTACTTACTGCAAAAGAAATACATAAACTACTGATTCTATACTTAAAAACAATTAAATATATAAATTTAATGTTTATAATTACAAATAAATTTGACAAAAAATGATCAAATGAAGGATGCATAACACACTTACAGTTAGACATATTTATGCAAATAGAGCCTTTAATTGATTTCTCCTTTTTGGTTTATTCTGAAGTTATCAGCAGATTGCAGTAAAATCATGAGTGGGAAAATAGTTTCCAGTTGGACAAAAGTAAAGATGTTGGTTGAGAATGCATTTTACTACTTTTTATTTTATAACTGTCATTGAACAGCTGACCCAAATTTTGGGTTCAGTACCACTAATGTTCAATTTCATAGCCTTGTAATTTTGAACCCAATGCAGAAGAGAAGTGAACTCCTGGATCAAGTATTGGGAGACATTTGCCTCGGTGGAGGACATTTTGATGGAACTAACCCGCATTTGCGTTACACTACTAAAACCTCCCACGGTTAGTCTGATAGCAAGGAGACTCTTAATGCATGATCCGTCTACCACTGAGGATATTTCAAGTCAGCACTGTGGTCAGTGTAAGCCAGATGCGGAATTTGTATTGACCTTCAAAAAATTATAAGTAGAAGGAAAAAAAAGAATTTATCACCATATAAGAAATTGAGCCAGGGTGACTCCGGAAATAGAGCGTTCCCCTGCCAATGAGGTGAAGTAGATTAGAATTCCAGCAATGACTGATCAATACAAATTCTGTATTCAGCTCTCAGTAACCACAGTGTTGATGTAAAATATCCTCAGTGGTATCCCCTTGCCATCAAGCTAAGCGTGGGAGGTTTTCGGGATTTTCCTCTAAATGTAACGCAAATGTGGGTTAGTTCCGTAAAAAGTCCTCCACAATGGCAAAGTTTATCCCAATACTTGATCCAGGAGGTTTTCTGGGTTCAAAATTTCAAGGCTACGGAGTTGAACATGAGTAGTAGTAAACCCAAGAAATTGGGTCGGCTGTTCAACGACGGTTATAAAATAAAGAAACATATAACAAATTGTGATTAAAAAGAATATTTAAAATAAACCTTCATCCAAGTTGAATTAGTTGGATCAAGTCGACTGCTCATAGTTACAGAGTCTTCAAAGTGGGGAGATAAATCACCAGCAAGTAGTAAGACGTGGCATCTATAAAAAAATATTTCCATTAAATATAGCTGTTTTTTCTTCTTGTTATTTAAAAAATAATACATTAACAATAAAACAATCTAATTGGTATTTAAGATATTTATCTTTTAAAACAAATCAGTTTTCTGGCAGTAATAGGAGAATTCTTATCAAAATTTACCTGGACAGTAAATTGTTTCGCCAAATAGAATAAAGTGCTTCCTTGTAGGTGAAGTAACACATCAGGGGTCTGTCTAGGTTTGTATGAGAAGTACTTACTTTGTGAAAATTTAGACATAATTTGTGAAAATAAGAATTATATTAAAAAAAGAACACAAAAATATGGTAAATTTTTACATATTTTTCCCCATAAATTAAAATACAAATTTATGTAAATGAAAAAATTAAAACTTTGAAAATAAAAGATGACAGGAGTTACAAGAGAAACAAAAAATATAATCAGAAAACTATATTTTATTTAATCTATTTGCATGTATAAATGAATGCCTGTCCGTTATGTGTCTTTTATAGACTGCCAAATCATCCAAACAGCAATATATCATGCAAAAAATTTGAAGCACAAAGAAAACCCATTGAGCGAAAATGTCAACATCAATGAGTGAAAAACGAAATGAAATTTTCCAATTGGTCAGGCGTTATCCACTATTTTATAATTAACTTTAGACAATTTAATTATCCGAATATTTAAAGATAACATCAGCGATATTTATTAGCTTATAACATTATTTGATTAATAAGAAAAGGAAATTTATTATACAACTTTAAAATTTAATTATTTTTATTTGTTCTATCAGATACCTTCAGCATTAACGTGAGAGCATGAATAGACAACGTCACCATATTAGTATTCCTAAAGTTATCTCTGATCGTATGCTTATTTTGTTTATACCAATTCTTTCAAAACGTGTTTCTGTAAAAGTAAATAATTTAAAATCAACACTAATTGAAATGAAAAAAAAAAATACTTAGATAAGAATATAAATAAAAAAATATAAGTATTTTAAAAAATATATGAAAAAAATATAAGTATTTAAAGGCAATTCGTTAAGGAGAAACATGAAAAATTGACATGCTATTATTGACGCCAATGATTGTTAATTAATTTAGGTAATATATGCATAGTGAAATAAAAGAAATAAACCATGTACTAAAAGACAAAATTAATGAAGTAAAGGTATTGATTTGCTTCGATAAACTATTAAAAATTGCCGTACTATTATTGACAACAATGATGCTTAATCATTGTTAATAATATGTATTAGCTGAAATAAAAAAATAATTTATCAGCTAAATAGTATATTAATATTTTAATGAATTGGAATTTAAAGAAATCTTTTCTTCATCACTACTTATAAATATTTTAAACAGTAAATCAAAGATCAGATAGAGAAATAGTCATGCTCCAAAGTCCTTATCAAGGTCTCATAAGAATTTTATTTGTTTTTAAAATTCCGGGTTTAGTTGGCTGCTATTGATAAATGTATTTCGCACACAACTCAAATGTTAAAAGGTTATGTAATAAATCCCAAATATACTAATATAGGTATCGAGTATTATATTGACATATTTTCCGATTATTAAAACTACACCAACACTAAGCAGCTTTAGTATCAATATTGTGTAAATAAGTCTTTCACTCACGGCCCCTTGAAAGGGTTATATATAAAATTTTGACTATCATCAGCTGGTAGCTAATAGTGTTTTTCGAATTCTTTTGCCAAGAAAAATGAACAAAGTCACAATTTAAATGGCCGAACTATAATTAACTTTAAGAGCGCGGTAGACAACGTCAACAAAAATTCGTTACAAAGCTCAGTCCAAAGGATTCAACAAATATTTTTCTGCATGACAATATGCGATACCTCAGTCGTGGAGATATAGAATTCAGGGCAATAGCTATTTCTTTGTGTTTCTCATAACTAGCAGATGGTAACTACCAGCGTACATTCAATGTTTACTAACACGGAGATACTTTAACCTGAAAAATAAATGCATTGATATTACCATTTTGGAAACATACATACAAGGTGTTAAAATCACTTTTAATACATAATTAAGGAATCATTGGCACATAATTGAGAAATCATTTGCATTTGAAAAAAAAAAGAAATAGTAATAACATCTCATAAAAAGTCACAAATTAATTTTCAAGGGAGGAAAAAAAAAACAGTTTCGAACTCTCACCCACTACATAACTGATATCAGAAAGAGCAAAGGAGGGATTGAAATTATAAAAACAGCTTATATTTTCATTTAGATTGGAATGTGTTACGAACTGCCTTAAGTTTTATCTCAAAAACAGTTGTAGATGATTTTAATTACTTGTTTGTCTTTACACCCTTTGAAAAATCCCCTTCAAAATTTGATCTGNCCTCCCAAAAACAAATAAATAACACACAAGGTTGGATTTATATATAAGCAGAATAGGTTGCAGCTTAGAACCCCATATATCTTTTTTCTTTCTTTTTGCATTGCTCAGAGTTATTCAAAATAAATTCAACAGCCAAGTAACATTAGCAAATACTATTAATTTAATCTTCAATAAACACAGATAAGAAAATGATATTCTGATAATTAGTTTAGAGATTGCAAGTGATTTTAGTGACACTAGTTTTGAAATTTTTGAAACAATGGCCAAAAAAGAATTTCATGTACAGATTAAGCATCGCTTTGATGTAGAAAATTGCTGTTGAAGCAAAACAGTGACTTGGTAAGTGTTATAGAGACTCTTCACCTGGGAAATTAACTATTATTGAGTAATACATTGCATTTATACATGGACACTTATGATGCTGAATGCTCTGGCAGTCGTTAAATCAGCATTGTTCTAGAAAATATCAAAAAAGTTTCACAAAATACTTTTTCTTAAAATTTTATTTTTGTATCCCGTAAGAAACGATAAATTCATATTTTTGTGCTGATTGTTTAATATAATTTAAAATTTTTCACAAATTATGTCTAAATTTTCACAAAATAGGTAGGTTGACCTGGGGTAATTCCTGATCAAAAAATGCAAACATCTATTTCGTGAAAAAACTTTTCAAAATAGAATTTTAATATTTACTGGAAGTTTGAGGCTATATGACATGAGTCCTATGCCACCTTCTTTTGTTTAAAAATCTAATTAGAATTTAAAAGATTTTAAATTTTTAGTGATCAGGAATTACCCCTGGTCTTGATCATTTCTGGGGTAATTCCTGATCACTTCTGGGGTAATTACTGATCACCAGTTTTTATTGTAAAGGGGCTGTTTAAAAATAATTATATAATGGTAATTAACAAATAAGACATCAAGATCAAACAAATAAACCAAAAAGATATATTTAAGCAGCTAATAAAATGATTTATTTAAAAGCAAGAAGAAAGATTAACACTTTAAATTTTCAAAAATCTTTGCATCGTGCCATACATTTCAGGCAATCAGCCAACTCATTCTCATGTTCGGCTGAAATATAAGAGTTCCCACATGAGTTACTTTTGCTAGATTTTTTAACTTCATGAAGGGAAAGTGTAAAGTTAAGTAAGGTATGTCAACAGCACTGGCAGCAGCTCTCACACTAATAATTCACTAATTTTGCTTTCTAGAAGCTTAGTATCCTTTTTAGGCTTATAATTTCTCACCATATTTATACTAGGCTAATTTATAAACTTAAAAATTATTCTAACAATGTACACACATAAAATTGAAGCAAGATAAGACAAACCAGAAACGGTGCAAATCAGAATACAGTCTTGTATACAGTTAAAAGCAAATTTTGTGATGACAGTTAAAAGATATTTTATAGTTGTTCCACTTAATAAATATGAACTGTTATTTAAGAAAAGACAATTAGCTATTTATTAGTTCTTTTATATACTATTTTTAAGAAGAAATGACAATGATCAGGAATTACCCCAGTGATCAATAATTACCCCATCTGTAGGGGGCAATATTTGATATAGTTTCCTATAATCAATTATAATGTTTACAGTAGATGTGAAACAATTAAACAAAAGCCTGCACTACTTTTATATCAAAGAAAAAGAAAGTAACTCAAAATATTTATTATTAAGAGAATGAGGGGGATCTTTGCAGAAATATGCACATTTTGAAACCCATCTTTGAAATGGAAAATACAGAAAGCAGTTTAAAAGATACTTATTTTGTTAGATTAAACAAAAAAACTATTATTAAGCAAATGTAGTTATAGTTTAGTAAAGTGTACAAGCATTCTTGTCCATGTCTCAAATTAAAAATTTTTTTTTTTATTTAGATATAACTTAGGTGATCATTATTTACCCCAGAAACAGAGTGATCATGAATTACCCCGGGTCACCCTACCTCTCAGAAAAACCTAGACAGACCCCTGATATTTTCAGCTAACATGACTAAATATGTGCGCTGCCCTTCATTAATCTACTTGCTGTGCGAGTGGCCCTTCACTCATAAAGGTTGTGCACGCCTATGTATAAAGCGTCAACATCGTAAAGGAAGCATATAAAATATTGGTCAAGACAAGACTCTCAGGATGCATAATTTTCTAGTGCAGTAAATAAATAGCGCCAACAGATTTATATAGATAAAATTAAAACTGAAGATTAAACATATTGGTAAAACCCCACGAGAGGCCACTGTGAGCCCAAGTAATAAGCAGAGATCTTACAGACCCGGAAGTGTCAACATACAAATTCATATTTGAAACTAAGTCATATGTGTAATAGGAACTACTAACTGGATAATTTATCCAAATGCTATAGATATTTCTCTGATAAAAAAATTATTTGAAGTATTCATCACATTTTTTGGATCTATAAGTGAAAAATGCTATTAAAAGTTTCTTGCCTTCCACTACTAGATGGTCCCTGCAGCTGATGGGCAAAGCTATTTGGAACAGGTACTGTTACATTATTGAAAAAAGTTTCACAAAATACTTTTTCTTAATATTTTATTTTTGTATCCCATAAGAAACGATAAATTCATATTTTTGTGCTGATTTTTTAATATAATTTTACATTTTTCACAAATTTTGTCTAAATTTTCACAAAATAGGTACCTCTCAGAAAAACCTAGACAGACCCCTGATATTTTCAGCTAACATGACTAAATATGCGCGATTACATTATTGTTTTTCATATTGTAAAAAATCAAGACATAAAACAACATTATTAATTGTAAAAATTTTGTTTAAAAATAGATATATATTGTAGTTAACAAAAGTAAAAGCTAATTTGATGTACATATCAATATTCTATAAATAAAAAGGGGGTGGGGAAAGCTCGAGAGTTCGAAACTTGCATAAAAAGAATTAGAAAAGAGTATCAACTTTTTTTTTTATTATCAATCATCTTGGAAAGCATACGTTTATTCTTTCCGCCAGCAAGTATTTGTTCATGAACAGCATACGTCCTTAATTGATTAAACATTATCATTTCAAACTCGTCAAAACTAACATGTATAATAATTACACAAAACAGATCAGTTTAGTTATTTATTTGTTATGAAAGTATCACGAATTGTGTATTTATTATATACCACAATATTTTAAAACAAGAGACCCTCCACCAAAACCCAAGTTGTTTATAAGTGAAAATGGTAGAAGACAATTATTCGCTTTAATCTAACTCACGTTATTTTGACATTAAAAAAATTTTAACTCATTCACAAAATGGGCAGAAATAAGCAAAACATTACAGTTTTAATAAAATAAATTATCTCTCAAAGCTTGTAAATTAGTTAGTCTGCATTGAATAAAGTAAAATAGNATTTTTTGGATCTATAAGTGAAAAATGCTATTAAAAGTTTCTTGCCTTCCACCACTAGATGGTCCCCGCAGCTGATGAGCAAAGCTATTTGGAACAGGTACTGTTACATTATTTTTTTTCATATTGTAAAAAATCAAGACATAAAACAACATTATTAATTGTAAAAATTTTGTTTAAAAATAGATATATATTGTAGTTAACAAAAGTAAAAGCTAATTTGATGTAAATATAAATATTCTATAAATAAAAAGGGGGTGGGGAAAGCTCGAGAGTTCGAAACTTGCATAAAAAGAATTAGAAAAGAGTATCAACTTTTTATCTTTATTATCAATCATCTTGGAAAGCATACGTTTATTCTTTCCGCCAGCAAGTATTTGTTCATGAACAGCATACGTCCTTAATTGATTAAACATTATCATTTCAAACTCGTCAAAACTAACATGTATAATAATTACACAAAACAGATCAGTTTAGTTATTTATGTATTATGAAAGTATTACGAATTGTGTATTTATTATATACCACAATATTTTAAAACGACATGCTACCTAGCGACATGCTACCACGGAATCCAACAGGGAACTTTTTATTGTACAGTACCAATATTTTGAAACTAGAGACCTTCCACCAAAACCCAAGTTGTTCAATTGAAAATGGTAGTAGAAGACAATATTCGCTTTAATCTAACTCACGCTATTTTGAGATTAAATTAATTTCAACTCATTCACAAAATGGGCAGAAATAAGCAAAACATTACAGTTTTAAAGAGGAAGGAAAATATGAGTTAATGAGAGTATTTCTTGTAATTGTGGGTATATGTTATCTTAAAATTTGTTATTAATGTGTAATAAAATAAATTATCTCTCAAAGCTTGTAAATTAGTTAGTCTGCATTGAATAAAGTAAATTAGTTGCTCTTTAAATTAAATATTGTAGATTTATGAATAATGTTTACTATTTCCTCTTGCA